CCATTGGCAAAATGTCTCTTTTATATCCTCAATCTAAGAACAAATGCACTTATTTAAAGAAAAAATTACTTATTTAGATTTCCATTTTTTCCAGTGTTGTTATTTATCAGATCTTTTTGCTGCTGGTGAAGCTTTTCTGAGACGTTCTCCTCTCTGGGAAAATCAATCTCTCTGCAGAATGATGGACCTGATAATCCCTCCGATTGCTGAGCAGCTTCTGTTGCTTCTCTGAGGTCACTGCTGATGTCTTTCCAACACACTGGAAAAAATGGAAATCTAGATTTTTTCCTAAAATCAGTGCATTTGTTCTTGGATTGAGCAGGTAAAAGACACATTTTGCCAATGGAACAAAAGAATTTACATTTAAAATAAGAAAACTCAATTGCATTGTCTTATTTCAAGTGCATTTTATCTAAATATCTTCTTTTAAGAGTAAAAATACTCATTCAATTGGGAAAGCATTTAATTTACCCACTCAAATTAAGAGTAAATACACTTAATTTAAGAATTTTTTTACTTATTTCTGGATCGTTTTTACAGTGCATGTCGCTCTGCTAAGACACCTGCTAGCGCCGTACACTGGAAAAAAAATCTAAATCTTGATAAGTCTTTTTTTTTTCTCAAAATAAGTGCCTTTGTTCTTGGATTAAGGAGGTAAAACAGACATTTTGCTAATGGAACAAGATATTTTTCATTTAAAATAAGAAAACTCAATTGCATTGTCTTATTTCAAGTGCATTTTATCTAAATATCTTATTTTAAGAGTAAAAATACTGATTCAATTGGCGGATCAACTTATTTATCAACTGAAATTAAGAGTAAATACACTTAATAAAAGACATTTTTACTTATTTCTAAATTGTTTTTCCATGTTTCTTTTGTTAAACATCTTGTTTCAATCAAAGTTTGATTCAAATCAAACATTTTATTCATAAAAATAATGAATTTCTAACACATTGTAACCAGTTGGAGATTTTATTATTAAACTTTAAGGAAGCGCTGATTCTATGACTGTATAAAAATGAACACATTTGTTTAGACACAGTGCCACCTGCTGGTCGATCAGCAGCACTGCGGCTCCCAGATGTCGGCCTGTAAAACCAGACCGACTGTTTCAGCTTTAAACTGAGAGCAGATCCGGGTTTATAAAAACATGACGTCTGTGGAAAAGCCACAGACAGTCGGTGAAGGACGTGTCCGGCTCAGGAGAAGTGAGCCTCCCTCATTAAGGCATCTCCTGCTGAGTTTCTGTGGGCGCCTCCTCCGCCTCCTGGCTCTGCTGCGGAGCAGGAGGAGGACTTTTACATTTGTTCTGCTCCTCTGCTGCTGCTCCATCAGCGAGCGTTCCAGACGCTCCCGAAGTTCCCGACGCTCCTGCCGCCGAGCCGCCGGTCACCGCCTCCGCCCCGCTCTGCAGGAACTTCCTCAGGTCTTTGAGCGCCGGACGCAGCATCTGGACCAGCGCCAGCAGAGCCGCCTGAGTCCCTTCCAGCGCCTGAGCCTGCCGCTCCTGAGCCAGCGCCTGGGCCTCCTGCCAGCGCCGCACCATCTGCAGCTGCTCGTTCTGTCCCTCCAGGTGCTGGGCGATCTGTCGGATGTGCACGTTGGTCACCCTCTGCTCCTGCAGGAGGCGGGCGGAGTTCAGGGCGATGCGGCTCTTCAGTTCCTGGGGTTTAGGCTGGGGGGGCGGCGGCGGGGAGGCCAAAGAAGAGGCCAGCATCTCCACAGGAGCTTCGACGGTGGCCACCACGGTGGAGGCGGAGTCACCAACGATGGTGGTGCAGAACTCCACCCCGCTTCCGTCCTCCAGGGAGTGGTAGGTCGCTTCAGCTGGAAACCAGACGGAAAAAGGTTTACTGAGCGCCAGATCAACCAGGGGAGGAGGGGCTAATTAATAGGGGTGTAAATCACATCCATCATGGCGATTCGATTCATTATCGATTTCCTGACCCAACGATTCGATTATTNACTTTTTTCCCATGTTAAACTGAAATAAAATTAAAAAATCAGTTTACTTTTCTTTTTTTTCAGTGGCCCTAATCCTCTTCCATATTAAACTGAACTGAATTAAATACAATGCAAATTTACAACAAATGTCATCAGTGGCGGTTCTAGACCAAATGTACCAGGGGGCAAGGAGGGGGCCAGTGTTGCTTTCATGGGGGCACAGAAAAGAATTAAATTAAAAAACAGGGCAAGGGAATCAAATATATTAGGAGAACTGCATGAAGTTAAACTTCTATTCAATTGGGTGTAATTAAAATTCTATGTCTTATTAGGTCAATATATATTCATAGTTTAGGAATTTTACTTATTTTTGACTTTATTTAAGTTATAATGACCATTTTCTATCAAATCTGAATTAGAGCTCAAGAAAAACAAATAAAAGTGTTTTTTTTTTTTTTGGTTTGTTTTGAAAAAAAATGTAATAATGCTTAGTAATTAATTAGTAAAACAGAATTTGTAAAGAAAAAAAATTAAATAGATCCAAAGGACCTATCAGTAAGTGCGTCTCTTCCAATGCGTATCATCATTAGAACTTTTTTGAGTATTATGTCTTCAGTACAGGGGCCATAAAAGGGGCCAGGACATGATCTACAGGGGCACTGGCCCCCGTCGGCCCCTGTCTAGAACCGCCCCATGAATGTCATCTAAGGTCACTTTACAGTTCAACCAGATCATCCATTCAGATTGATTCAAAGTTTTCTACCAAAGGAAAACCAGTAGATTGCATCGACTCATTGGCTTAAAGGCAATCCCTCACACTAAGCATGCTTGTAGCGACAGTGGAGAGGAAAAACTCCCTTTTAACAGGAAAAAACCTCCAGCAGAACCAGGCTCAGCACTGAAAGAAATAATGCAACCATTTTTGGTATTTACTAGTGTTGCACTGATGCCATTTTTTGGGCCCGATACCTGGCTGTGCAGTATTGATCAATACCATCTGTTTGAAAGTGATGTGTGTGTATATATGAAGAACTGCATACTACTTGGATGCAGAGATGGGAAGTAACGAAGTACAAATACTTCGTTACTGTACTCAAGTAGATTTTTCTGAT